TTTTAGTATATATGTGATTTCACAGCCTGAATGATACCATGGCCAGCCTTTCCTGCTCTTCATGGATGCACAGCCTTTACAGGTTGTTTTCATTGGGGTCTTCAAGTACTTTCTGCTGCTCAACATCAGGTCTTCCATGCTCCTGAGCACAGCTATGAAGAAACCAGAGTAGTTTTCCTCTGCTGTAATTTTCACTTCAGCACTCTGTTACCAGCTGAAAATATCCCCAGATTCTGGAAGGAAAACAACTACCACTACCTGTGACATACTTGCCTGATTTAATTGAAGGTGTGCTCATTGAATTAGTCAGTGCTGCATTTCACACAGAAGTGCTCTTGTTGAATTCCATGGATGTCTCAAACCAGCCATACAACCCATGGGAATATGAAAGATCACAGCTGGATGATGGATGTACACCAAACTTATGAAATATATATAAATAAATGTATATGCAACGTCTCTGGGTATGTTACACAATCACTCCTGCTTCAAAAGGCATCTAAGAGTACACAGGGAAGCATCAGTACATGAAGATGCTTCAAATAGGCTGCCTTTTGAATGTCTCATTGCAGTGAGTTCCTCTCCTGGAGATAAAAGATCATCACATGTCATTAAATTCACTTTTAAAAATATTTTATTTTTTTAAAACCATTAAGGCAAAACCGTATTTCAAATTAAGTTGGTTTACATTCAGTCTGAAAGGATTAAAGCACATAGGTTCCTACAGTCTCTATACAAACACTGTGAATTCAACCTCTTGTTTTTAAAGAAGGCAGAAAAAATCAGAATGTAAAAAAAGGAAAAAAATGTTTAGTTCAAGTTTTTTCATCCTAGATCAGTAGGCTGGCAACGTTTGAGAATGCATCATCGTGTGTAGCTAGATGTGACTTTAACATTCACAAGTGCAAGATATGTTGTCCTTCCTAAAAATCCCTGCGAGACCAGGGCATCCATTCATCCTTGGACGTGTCATTTGCATTGTTCTAACAGAGAGAAACCTGGGAACTTGGCTTCAATTAGTGGTTTTTACTGGGAAACAAGCATTCCATGAGAATTAGGTTTGACTGCTCCTTGCAGGAAATGTGCTCCTTCTACGTTCTGTATTTACTGAAGTCCAATGTCCCCAAAACAGCTGACTGGAAACAATAAGCTATTTTGTTTTCTCTTTAAAATTGATGTCTTGATTTAATGAAACACTTGTTGGCTCTATTGATTAGGGCTTGGCAACATCAACGACACTGTGCTTCTTTTGTGTCCTAAGAGACACAGATAACAGACCATTTAAAAGGCGAGGAAGGGTTTCAACATCCCGGGGCACTTAACCTGTGGTGCTGCATTCCTAGAGAAAATTCTGAGCAACTGTTTTAGGAGCTGTGGAACAGCAGGAGCTGCTCAGGAGGCAGGTCCCCTAAGAATCTGCTAAGCCAGACTTTGCCAAACCACTCTGAGGTTTCTGGAGCACACTGATAGCACTGAAACGTTGGTTAGGTTCGTTACCACTAAAGCAGTAACTGAACCATGCAGGTTTCTGCTCTGCCCAAGGGCCAAGGCACTGTGATTCCATGGAGAGAGCTGCTGTGTGCTGGATGAGCCACGGGGTGAGCAGGGGTGGCTCAGGTGAGTCACCTGCAGGAGGGTGGTGACCTGCTCCCAGCTCTGCAGCACGTCCCACACAGGCTGCCGGGTGACACTGCTGGGTGACACTGCACTCCTACACACACAGGACTGCTGTGCCACCGGGATTGCAGTGGCTCAGGACTTCCCCTGAAGTCTTCCCCATCCTGCCAATCTTTTTTCCTTCTAGTGGAAAGAATGCCATGAAACTCCTGGCATTGAACACAAGGCTGGTGTCTTTACCACAACAGGGATCACCTGCATACCCAACGTGAGAAAATACACCAAAATATTACTGCTACTTCAAGTACCTCATGCTTGATCTTGCAGTCCTTAAGGTCCAGCCTGTAATCAGATCAGTCTCTTGTGCACGCTGCCTATCCCCTGGCAGAAGCAGCTCATCTGCAATTGAGGTCCTTGCAGCAGGAATTCTGTTTCGAAACATCCGCAGCAATGGAATCTGGCGAGACTGACGCAATAAAGGAGCTCAAGAAAAAAACACAGCCCAGCTTCAGAAGCAGAAAAAGATTTAAAAAACCTGTGAGCACAATAGGAAAAAGAAAGGAGGAAACAGCCTTCCTTAGGGTGGGCTCAGTTAGACAGTGGGTTTGTGTCACATGAGGTGACAGGGTAGAGGAAGTGGCTGCAGGACAGCACAGGGAAGTCCAGCAGAGCTTTTGCAAACATGACACAAACACCTCAGGGGACAACATACCTGTGTGGTGACACTGATGAAGTGAAAATGCCAAGTTGCAGCAATTTGAGGAAATAAAGTGTTACATGTTACAAATAAAAAGCAAGTAAGTACAAATGATAGCTAGAACATTTGTAATAGATTGTGCTTGTGGTACCTACTGTGTTTGGTGATTCACACAGCAAAATTTAAGGTAGATACCTTTGAAAGGTACCTTATTTCCTATATCAGATTTCCTTAGAAGGATGCTGTAGGCAAGACTGTCACGCCTGCATGCACCAGACACAGAATCCCTACGAGCAGACTCTGAATTCTGTTTCAAATCCCTCCTGCAGGGAAGCCAATAATGCCATTTCAACGTTTTGTTTTGTGCTGCCAAATCATGTTTGAAATACATCTATAAAAGCAGCAGGTTGCCCTCAGGGCAGATGGCAGGGAATAATCCTGAGTACACGTTGTTATTCCCAGTGAGCCACAAGTCAGCTCCACAGAAAACACCAGCACCGGTGCACAAACCAAATGCAGCTTCTTTTTAGCTCTTTTCAAAGGAAAATGAGCTACCATGCTGCAAAACAAAGATGAACTCAGTTCTACACATGATTTTTCCTACTGGTGACCTTGAGTTAAAAACTCAATTTTGGGATTGCAGCTATTCCTCAACTAGACTTGCTTTTATTAAAATTAAATAAAAGAAAGTCTGTGTTCTATGTGGAAAAATATTTTAAAGTTTTGTTACAATGGTCAACACCAAACACTGATAACTTTGAAGAATTTGTGATAGTTCTTCAAAAATGATACAGCAATAAAGACTAGACAGGAATAAATAGCAAACTGTCTTTGACATCAGCCCCTTCATCCTTAGCCCATAAAAGGAAATACTTCCTTACTGTACAAAGGGTTCACAAGATAAAGTATGTAACAAATATTTAAATTAAATAATTTACACATTTTCTTTAAGCACCTCTGTAACTAATTCAGTGAAAGTTTAAACCTTGCATTTATATTCTTGTATTTTATAAATTGAAACATGAAGAAATGGTATTACATTAAATTAAAAAAATCCCACAACACATAATATCAATAATCTTAGATCAAACCCATATATTATTTAAATCTCCAGTAAAAGAAGGAAAATAAAGCTGATTAAACCTAAATACAAAAATTATATGCAACTGATTATCAGGAAAGCACTTGGGACAGAAGCAAGCACAGATACCACGCTCCACCTTACATTCCAACACTTCCTAAAGGACGAGGGGTTTCTGAGAGGGACCATTATTTGCAGACCTTATGCTTAAGCAGTACCATGACAGCTGCAAATGCATTTGTCAAATGCAGTTGCAGACTTTCAGTGAAGTCCCAGGGAGCTTTTTAGGAGAGACTGAAACTGTTCCTCTGCAGCCACAGCAGGATATCCCCCAGCTGCTCTGCCTCAGATGGGGCCCAGCTTTGTCCAGGCTTTCCGTCAGCAACGAGGAAATTCAAACTCAGTCGTATGTGACCCAGCTCTCGTGATGAATAAATCTCCCCAGGTTTCAGCAGTTTGAATAAACAAACAAATGTTTGGATGCTTATTATAAGCTCTTTGATGTGCAGCCCTGTGCCAGCTCTCTCATGAGAACAGGCTTAGTGCAACTGCTGGTATTTCCGAGATCTGCACGGGGCAGGAATAATGCAAAACTCTGCTGGCTGGCAGCACTTCAGCTCTGCAGCAGCTGCTGGAAGCAGAGCACAAAGGCACATGGAAATGGCAGCTAACACAAAATGTGATTTCTTTAAATGCAATGCAAGGTGTCGTTGCTGTAAGTGGAAACTTTGCTATCAGGCGTCAGTTTGTGTTTAAAGCAAAAGTGGGATCGGAAATTTTGAAAGGTACAAAGTAACTAATTTTTTTTAAACAGCGGCTTTAAAGGAAATATTTAAGGAGGAGAGAAGAATGAACCTCAGATTTCCCTAATACTTGGCACAAAACCTTCCTCTTCTTCCCCCCTTCCCCTTTGACAAAAAGTACCTAGGGCACCAGAATAAATAAATAAATAAATAAATATTTTCCCTCCAAACAATGCTCAAAAATGAGTAATCTGTAGGTTTGCTGAAAACTTAAGCCATACCATTGTTTCCCAGGATATTTCTCTATCCATCTGCTGCCTCTTGCCTTGAGCTGTTTGTGGGGTCTGGTTGCTAACCAGAGTTCTTCCATGCTATGACAGTAAAATGAGTTATGTTGGCAAGAATCAGATCCAAACTGCACCTGATGAGCCAGCAAATCTTTAATCCATTTTAATCCTAAAATCTGATCAATTTGCTTTCCTCCATAGGTGGGGTATTTAAAACTATTAGTTTATCTGCACATAGAGGAGCTGCTGAAGTAATTGATCAGAAATACATCTGAGACTAGTTTGCAATCCAAATTTTAAAAAAAATGGACATAAACTGAGTAACTTTAAAATCTCCTTGGCCAAAACCTGCTGTAGTCATCTCCTGAAGGAGCAAATGTAATTCCTTAAAAGCATAATGTAGAAATGAGAAATTCTTTTGCCCATTAATTCTTGGGAAGGGAATTGTGTGCCCTGTGCCACTCTTTGAAGTGACTGTGGGAATGTGCACGGGACAGCAGTGTGGGCAGTGGAATCCATCCAGAATTTTAGGCTGTGTTAACATCTTGTTCATATTTCTGTAATTCAGAGATGTGTTCTCTTTTTTTCTTTTTTTTTTTTTTTTTATTCAGGGTCTGAAATTTAATTTAAAACAGAAATCAAACCTTTAATGTCCAAGGAAGTAGTCAAAAATTTCTTGCTAGTTTTCAAATAACAAAAAATTATTCACTTTTCTCATACTAATAACAGGACTTTGTTACAAACAGCTGCTAAAACTGCTAAATATTATATCTTTCACTGAGTTACTCTATTTGCTTTTCTTTATAGCTTTGCTGAGAATTTAAGTATTTATTATTAATTTTCCATGTTTTAAAGTGTTACTAAAGTGTTTTAGCCACTTTTGAGAACAAGAGCTGGAAAAATAGTTATGCTCACTGACTGTGTCTGATTTTTCCTGAGAACCTACAGTACACTTAGACTATGGAATACAACTTTGAAATTTGCCCTTCGCAAAAAATCTGACCTTTGGGGGGAAAATATTTCAAGTTATCCTTTTTTTAGAGGATAAACTAACAGTTGGCTCCTACAGTTTCAGAACAGCATCCCAGAATGGCTGATATTTTGACAACTTCTTGCATCAGCAATATCACAGATCAATTATTTCCATGGCCCAAACCCCCTCAGTGAAACAGGGTTGGCTGGAAGAATAAAGCAGCAGCATTCCTAAAATCCTCTGTTTCTGAGGGCACACTGTGTGCTGCTCTGGGACACAAAAGGCAGCCCATTTCTCATCTGAGGGTTGCTGGCAAGACCAACATCCCTCTCTGAGTGTTTGAGTGTTCTTCCTGCTGGCAACGGGGAAGGGGAGGAAGTTTTGTGCACATGCAGTTACTATTTCTATTCTGCCCTAGATGCTCACCAAATTTGAGGCCTGTGCTTCAATATTTTACACTAAATATATCTGTAATTATCTATAACTTCTGCCACAATCATTGCCCAGATAAACCCCAAAAAGTTGCCTTTCAATTTGTAATTTTTCCAGTGTCCAGCTGTGCCTGGACAGAAACAAGCATTGCCACTGAAACAGGAATGACAAGGTGATGTTCTCACTCCATCACTCAATCCTTGCAGTGAAGATTCTGGTGCCTTCAAATGTGCTACAATAAAACAAATACAAAGTGTCCTCCTGTGCCACTGAAAGCTTTACTGTAGTGAAAATGCTGGCATTGCTCCTGAGACCTCGTTGTTGTGAAACAGAAAGTAAAATTATGTGGTAATAATGTGAGGTTACTGTATCAAAGAAATGAAAGAGAAACAGCAGAGTGCCTGGCATGCAGCTGGCACTTCTGGGCAGCTCTCTGAAAAGAGCCCATGAAGTGGCAAAGTCAGAAAGCCATTTCATTGTAGCTGCTTTTGCAGCAGGAGTACAGCAAAAAAATCAGTTTACTCCTAGGGACACAATAAACTTACTCTCAGCTGTGCTGCCTTCCAGTCTATGACACAGTCTGACACCTACAAACACTGCTCTTGGTGTTACCATCACCTTATCCACAAGGACAAAATCTGGTGAAAACAAGTACCAAACACTTCTATCCATGAGGCCAAAGAAGGAATAGAAATATATCCAAGTGAGTAAAAAATGAAGCAGTGCATTCATCAGAAAAGCAAACAGCTCCAAACAATTATACTGCCAAGACACTTAGAGGAAAGCTGGTGCCTTTCCTATCCAGTCATTCCTTTGGAGTCATTGTCACTGCAGTAGAGTGCAGTATCCTTGATGGAAAGTTAAAATTCTTTTTTTTCCTAGGGTAGGATCAGATTTTTCAGTCTCTCCAAAACTCTTGCTAATTCAAAATAGTATTTTTATGTCAAAACTGCATCCTGAGCTATTACAAGTTGTACAAAAATACAGGGTATACAATCTCTTTTTCATCAGTGATATTTGCACATTTCCTTAACAGACTTTTGAAACAAAAAGGTCCCATCAGTTTATCTTGTTTACTCTTCAAGACACACTCGTTGGAGCATCTCTGCTGTCTTTTAGATGACTCTTTGGATTTTGTTTAATTTCATAAGAGAACTCTCTTTTAAACCTGCTAATCCCAAGTATGCCAACATAACAGTAGATGAAGCTGTACATCATTTCATGGAATTAAAGCAACAATGGATGAAAGATCTTTCCAAATTTTTAGAAGTGTATGGACAGTAATATCCAGCCATTTGCTACACCTAGACTGAATGCTTTAAGAAAAAGTGTTAGCTGGTTCTCAGTAGTTACCATTAGGCAAAAGTGCATTGTCTTTCTGATTGTGCAGATACCTGGAAGGAAGGTGCTGAATTTGTTACATTAATACTAAAATGACTAAGCCAAGAGGAAATACAATTTTGTTCATTTCTGTTACTTAACATTCGGATTTATTATACAAATATGTATTCCTTACCAATCTTCAAATTTCCAAATAAAAGAACCATTGTAAGACACTTCATTGAGCACTCTGACCAGTATTTTTCTGCAGCACTTTTTCAAAAGAAGACAAATATCCCAAACCAAAAGAAGTGTAACACTCCAGTTCCCCAGTTTTAGATTTTTCCTGCTCTGGGCTGAGTGAACAGCCCATAACTGTACAAGTAGTTTTGCTCCCATCTGTATTTCTCTGTCTTTAAATATTGTGGAAAAAAATACTAGAAGTCCTTAATACATATCCCTGTAGATTTCCTGTAGTAAAGGGTGTAAATGTGCATCAGATTCAGTCTTCTTGATTATCTGAACAAGCTGAGCATGCTCTGTGACCAGCTGTCGGAGGTCAGCCATTTTTTGGAGAAGTTTTGGGAAGAGGAAGGTGTCATCAGGATGGTTGTTTTGCAAGTGGAGTTTCAGTACATGCACAATGCTCTCCTGCATTTTTTCAATGTGTCCTACATTTACAAGACCAGGACGATCTGTTCTCAAAACAAGCAAAAGAATACATGTCATAATTTTATAATGATTCCTCAAAGTGTAGTTAGTGGTAGAACTGAATCTTCCAGAGGATAGAAGCTTTTCCATTAAAATTTTTAATTCACCAGAGGGAAGTATGAACATTTACTACCTTAGAGAACAAATGGGTCATGCTTACCTCCACAGCAAATAATGGCAGCAACAAAAAGGGAAATATCGCTATCATCCAAATCCAGTGCATTGAATTTCATTGCAAAATCAAATTTTGGCTCCATTATATCACAGAATGGCTTTCTCAGGCTTTTCAGGAACTCCCGGGTTATAAATCCATTCCCATAAGCCACCAGCATCCCGTCCTTGTTCATCACAGAGGCCAACATGGCAAATATGGCTTCATACACCCCATACTTCAGCAGTGTCACCTGATCATTCAGGTCCAGGCTGGAGAAGCCAGGGATGGATTTGGCAAATTCCGTGAGCTCTGTGACAGTCTCCACAGACGTGCACTGGCAGCAGTGGAAGATTCGAACCTCTGCTTCCTTGTTCTGAATCCCATTGGCCACCAGCTTTGCCACCAGGGTCTTCTCTGCCATACATAAGGTATCCATATCATGTATAACAAATGGCTGCAGAGAAAAAAACACTAGTTCAGTCACTAAATAATGGTTATTAATCATTCTCTAGCTAAAAAATAAGAATTTTGCTAAATTTTCACTTCCACGCTATTCAGTGCTCAACTATCACTTTGTCATCAAGACGGTGTATGACAAACTGCAATACCTAACAAGCCAGCCCTGCAAACAGCAATGCAAATAGTCAGATGTAAAGATGTATGGCATATCTTTAATTTAGTTTTCTCTAATAGTTACAGTGAAGCTCCAGCACTCCTGTGCTTGGCATGCACAAATCCATCTCAGAGCCAGTCCCAGAGGGTTCACAAAAGACTTGGATTACCTTCTCCAGGAGTCCAGGTTATTCTGCCTAAGCTCCTATTGATTCCTAAACTAACCACACTTGATGCACATCATGATGCTTTCCTAAAGTACCCTAGGGGGAAATTACAGGCAGTAATTTCAATACAGGGCAGCATATTTGCTTAAGAATGTGAACCTTGCACTTCTCTTGTGTTTTATTATCAGATTCTCATAGACAATGTCCCAATTGTCCCAATTTTCTAGCTGCAGTTGGTGCTGAGTCATCTCCAAACAGAGAATCCCACTAGAAAGCCAAGCACAAAATCCCATAATCCCATTTGTTTTGAAAGGTACATGCTTTACAAACAGATGAGCCACTCTCTTAAAACATCATTATCAAAAGCAGCATTCAGACTTTCTTATGAACAATCAGAACTCAAAAATATTTTGATATATATCTGCAGGGCAACAACCAAAATGAAGTACAATCCACTAAAGAAAAACAACAAACCCCAGTGCTTCCCAGTCTAGCAAACTCACAGCAACTGACCTTGAAGAGAAACTCAGTTCCATACACACCAAGCACCCTCCTTGTGCTGCTCTGCTCAGCTCAGATTAAACAGCATGGGGAACACATGAGTTCTGTCAGGAACTCAGAGCATTCATTTGTTTCCTTCAGAAAACTGTCCAACAGGTCAGGTTCCTATGGTTTTCCATTTTAAAATGTTTATGGCTACTGGACATTCCATCTCACTCCAGCACAGTTACACAGAGCAGAACTTTCCATGGGAAAAGTTCACTTTCCATGAGTGGAAAGTGGCAAAGCAAAAAACACAACACATCTCTAAACCTTTAAAAAATGTATGCTATCTCTATGCTGTCTACTTAAAAAAAAAATTTAACATCATTTCAGGATGCAGAAAAGAGGCATGGCTAAGGACTTGGGAGCTAAATTAAAAAATGACACCTTGTCATTCATGAAAAATGCTCATTCATTCTGAAATTAATTGTAGTGGTGCCAAAAATGAGGATTCACTGAAATTAGCTGTTAATACACATTTCTGAAACAGGTGGGCTGCTAATTACAATCAAAAAAACCCACCTTATTTTAACATTTGCTTTTCGGCTGAAAAATCAAAAGAAAAAGAATTTTTTTTTTTCTTAAGAGAGTATGAAATAGTCTAAAACCCCTTTGCTCTTCCCTGCATATGGAAAAAATTGATAGCAGCGTGTTTGCAACATCCTGGGGCTGATTCTTCATTGATTTTTCTGTGCATATTCAGCCAGGCATACACGTGCTGGTCACTGTTGGCTGGTCAGTCCCTTGGCTGTGGGACACATTCAAATACGAGAACCTGGATTAGGTGCTGTAGGATCCATCCCTGCATGTGTGACACAAGCTGTGGCTTATGGTTCTGACACAGGGTAACAAGCACAAAACTGATTTTCTGCAGAGAAGCTAAAGGTGGTATTTACTGTGGGCTCATGTCAGCCTGTAACCCTGAAATGTTTAAGCCTGTGCCTCATTTTACACACCTCTCAGTGCAATGAAAAAGGCTGGGATTATTCATGTGTCTCTCCTCTAAAGCTGTAGGCTAGACTAGACTAGACTATTATATGCCAAATTCCATAATGCAGAAGACAGTTTGCTTACCATTTTGATAACACTCATCCCCACACTTACATGGTTTTCATTATGGCATATGTAAAGTTTCTTCCCTGCACATTTTTACTGAAACTGAAGTTGCTGATAATATAAGATAATTACCTTTTACATAAAAGTAACATAGATCACAGCAGAGCTTTAATAAATATGCATAAAGTGAAACAAGCAAGTCCTTACATTGATTATACTCTCCCATGTGCTACTAAACAAAAAGCAGTTGATCAAATTAGGTAGACCTTGGCTAAATTACCCTGAAAGAAAAATAACTTCTACAGCAAATGTGTCTTCACAACTTTGCTTGCTTCTGCCTTTCAAAGGAACACTTCAGAAAACACCAGGAAGGCTGGGTGAGGAAATGGCCAGCACTATGAACAAAAAATTACAAACTCGAGTTTTCTTTCCCCTCCTGCTAAAAATATTATTCTGATTAAAGGAAAAGTCATGCAGAGCACCTGCACACCCTACAAACTAATAGTACTTATCCTGGCATTTGTGACAGAAAAATGCATTTTTTTCACTGTCATAATAGAAAAATAATTTTGAACCTCTTGAACATATCAAGAGGTATTCACATTCAGATATCACTTCATTTTTTATTAAGAACAATAATTTAGGGTTATGAGTTTCATTTACAAGGAAATCACCTGATTTTCCTATAGTTTCTTTTTATTCTGATAGTGGTTAAAAGCAACCATATTTACTATAGATATTTCCTTTGAATATTTCATGTCTGTTTACCATGATATTTATTTTCTAAAAGATTTGCTAAAGTGTCTAGCATATTATTACAATCACTTTCTACACCTGTCAGTTTTATTTTAAAGTAACAGAAAAAGTACTTACTGGATTGTTATTGGTTTTCCCTGCAAGGATGATCCTGGCTTTAACCTTGTTCATATTGAAGTTTTTCAGGTAGGCATCATGAATTCTTTTGGCAAGTGATTTGAGATCTGCCATTTCTGAATCTTCTACATAATTTTCACCTGTCAGAATTTCTGCTTTGAGCTTGGCCTTCTCAGACCTCGGCATTCGTCCAAAACGTATTGCTGATGGGAGGACAGAATTGTAAAACAAGCACAAATTATACAAGAACTTAAGCCTTTTACCATTGCTGATCAGAGCAGTAAGATTTTTCTGTCTAGAAAAACAGGTAGAGGTGAAGAGGTGAAGACATCTCTCCCTTCCCAACACAGTCAGTGACTAATATGCTAAACTGAAGGAAATCAGGTGTTTCAGAATACAAAGTGCTATCTGCAGTGGGCTAGAACACATTCCTTTTCCCTTCTGCATTACCTAAATATACTTGTATTTTGTTTTCTCCTCACTGAGTTCTACAGCTCCCAATGTGAAACTCAAAGTCCACCTTGGGAGCTTCCAAAGCACTAAGTAAACTCGTGACAGGAGCTTGGCAGAAAGCACACACATGAGCTGGAGAGCTGCAATGGAGCCTGAATCCCACTGCTGGCTCAGAACCTGCAGGGGCATCCAGTTCTTCACTCAACACATCTGTACTGCCAGTGGGAACCCCAAAGATCTGCATTTACAGCTCAAAGGCAAAAAAGTCTTCTCTACCTTCCACACTCCATACTGCTTTCCCAACAGACTAACCCTGCAGGACTGGAGAGGAGAACAGTCTGAATATCCAATCCAGTCATTGGGATATCTTTCTGAGAGGCAGAAGATGCAGGTCTGAAACACCTCTGGGTATGGAGGTCTCCTGGTTTTTGGGCAAGTGGTCTTGCCATTCATGGGCACTTCTTCAGTTTCAGTTTCAAGCTAAAGCAGCCCCATTTTACCCTTGGGAGGTGTGCAAGGGTTTGAGATGGCTTATACAGGGAGTTGCTTGTTCTGCATTTCAGCATTTCAGTGAGGACAGGACCTCACTGCTTACACTGAGCAATTCAAGGCATGAACACCATCAGCCTTTCAATGTGCCCAGGGGATCCTCTCATGACATAAGGAGGTGACTCTAGGCATGATCTGAAATACAGCTGTGGATTCAATGGAAGTCCAACATGGAAAGCCTGTTTGGAATCTGGCTTAGGTGCTTCCTTCCCCTTAAGGTGGTCACACCAACATGTTGAAAAAGTGGAAGAATACTTGCTCTAAACTAAAACTTACAGTTTTAAGACCTTACACATGGGTGTAAATTCAGTAGTGCTTTTCCTGGGAAGTATTAGCAAATCAGCAGTCATTCCCTTTCCCACATGTTTGCTGCAATAAAACTGTGGTTATTCCCTTCCACTGGAGCCCAGGTGGCCACAGTGTTTTTAGTAGGATGAAACAGCTTCACATGGAGATCAGTTCCTGCCAACCAGCACATCTCCCTGCTCAGCTCCCAGCCTGAGATGTCACTTTGTTGTCCAGCACACTTTTTGAGGATGGTTATGCCCAGTCTTGCAGACACTACCAACCCTCTCCCAGTGCACCTCAATCTCAGTCAAGGCTCACTGCAAGAGAGCCAGGCTTCAGCAGAACCAGGGGGTAAACTCTCCCAATGCCTCCTGCTGGGACTCTAGACTACAATGTCACAAGCAGCTTCCCCAGTCATGTTCCCATCCCAACTGCATAGTTTCCTTAGGAAATTTGTCTCCTAACCCACAGTTTTTCACCTATCCCAGTATTTTTACCTACTTTCACCTTGCACCTTCCCCCAGGTTCAGCCTGGACAATATCAGAGCCAAGCAAGGAAAACCACTGTCATCTGGCCAGGTGAGATGTGCTTTCTCATGGCTTGGCCTCTCCCCTCTTCACTGGTGCTGCTCAGCAAGCTCCGCCCTGCACAGAGGACTGCCTTGTGGGCTGAAATTGGTCTGTAAGCCACAAGCTTGCCACCCTTATCTTAGATCACTAGCACAAACAACAACATAACTTTTAAACTGGATATCTAAATGCTCTGAATTTTAAACCATTCTGTTTAACAAACAACCTACCAGATTCCTGTTGCACAGTCAGCATAGACCTTTGCCCTCCCTCCCCACTTTCTGAACCATCTGCCCCAGAGCTGTTGCACTGTAACCTGAAAAATAATGAAGGCTGCTTTCCTACAGATTTCTATCCTACATCACTCCCTCTCACAATGAAAGCAGTTGTTCTCCTCCTACTCTTCTACAAAACCCTCAATCAGAATTCTTCCAGGATTGAAATTTATTTCAATGGCAGTACTGGTGCCAAAGTTCTGGGGTGAGGAAAGCAAATAAATGAACATTCATATGGACAAAGTGAGACGTAGCACAACTGTGTAAAGCTCATAACAGCACATTTAGCAGCTCTGTATCAACCACATGAAACTGGCACCCCCACAGCGACCTATCCCATAAAAAATCTGAGGTTCAATTCATGTGTGTGAGGAAAAATGCTATCCAAGTGCCTGCCTCCAGCAGCAAACTCTGGGTAGGAACAAACAAATGAAGGGCACTCTTACCTACCATTATGTGACATTCCAACTGAAAGGCACTTTTGAAAACGACAGTATTGGCACTTATTACGATTTTTTTTCTGAATTTTGCAGTTGCGATCACATTTATCATAGATGAGTTTTAAACGAATTGTTCTTCTAAAAAAGCCCTATAAAAAGTTTGGAAAAAACAATGTTAATGAATGGTGACTACTAAGCTTTAATCATAAAGTTCTTTTTTTTTCTTTTACCATTTATTGTAGAACAGCCTCTGCCTCCACTGCTCTTTCCAGGATGTCTCCAGTCTGCAATGCAAGGTTGCTCACACACAGGGACAGCAAATCCAGAGCCATCTCAACATTTTGTGTGTCACATCACAGAGCAACATGTCATTTAGGCTGTGGGACACACCTGGCTAGGATCTGGTTCCCCATCTCTAATAGATATTCTGCATTATTCCATAAGATTTACATTCAAATGATCATACTGACATGATGCATGAAAGAAAGCTGTACACGAAGACTGTTATTTCTCTCCTCTTACCTTCTAATATAGAAAAAAGAAGGAAATCTAAAACATTAGAAGAAAAAGAAAAGAATCTTATAATTCATGGGTCATATCATCATTAATGCAAAGAATTATGCATTAATGATAAGAGTAATTGGTGCTAGAGACATGCCCTGGCCCCAAAACTACAAGAGGTACAAGACTAAGGGATTCAGGCAGCATGTGGTGGAGGTGAGAAATTCAGGATTTGTTGCTGGTACAACAGGAATGTGTTATCCTCCTCCATATTCCCAACACAAATAAAATGCCAGTGGAGCAAGAAGACTTCGATTTTTTTTGTCACAGTTTAGTGTTTTGTTTTAGTATTTCACTAACTAAACACAGAAAAGCAGTATTAAAATTATCAGTGTGAATTGCTCCTGCTTGATGAAGGTCTGAGTTATGGTATCTGGATGACTTAATTCAGAAAAAAAGATCACAGATAGGAATTGTAATGGCTAGAGATATAGTAATGAAACCTTTATATACCAAATGTTTATCTTCACATTACCCCATAAATAAAGTAACATGATTTAGGTTCTTAAGAAGAAAATGATGACTGTACCTTACAACCTTCACAAGCATGTACTCCATAATGGTAGCCTGAGGCTTTATCCCCACAAATTCTACATTCAATGTTTAGTGCTCCACTGGATGATTCATCTATGCCACCTGGAGCTATGGCAAAATTAATGGATGAAGGACTGGATGCTGGTGAAAGGGTGTCTAAAGAAAAAAAAGGAACACTTCATGAGCAAGATTGATACAATTTCTATACGAACAATCACACAAAAAATGAGCTTATTCTGAAAAATAATCTTGTGTTAATAGTTATTAAGTGAACTAACAGTTAAATCATAATTCTTTGAAAAATAATTCATATTTCCAGTGCAAACACAGACAGAATACAGGGTATACCTTGCTAATTTTGGTGTGACATGGGATGTCAAGAAGGAAAAGGTCTTACTGAAGTGACTCTGGCAACAAGAACTATTTGGGTGATAATGGACCCAATAAATACACACCACACCACTGCTCTTGGCAGAAAGTTGTGAACAGCTCATCTTGGCTTTGCATCTTCCATCTCTTGTGCTGCAGGGATGAGCAGGGCATCTCTTGTGGCAGCACCACAAGAGACACATTCTTACCTCACACAGATACACTTCAGATACACATAAGGACCCCTGACCTTTGAAAAGCTGCTCATAATTTTAAATGACAATCTAAACTGAGGGCTGAAAAGTAGATGGATGAGTCCTGCACATCAGTAGAAAGGCTGAACAGATGTCAAAAGGAAGGTAACACAAATGCCTGCCTCTAAAATAACCTGGCTCAGATACTTTGTGTTTTTCTTCTAATGGGTAAAGCATTTCTGAATCCTACAATGAAATAAACTCACCAGACGTGCCACCAGTGGATGAACACATTACAAAACTAACACGTTCCAACCTTACTTATTTCAATTAATATTTCCACCTTGTTTGAGGAAAATATTTTCTGAGGCCAGAATTTCTTTTATCTTCCATCTTGCAACTTGCACCACAAGACTTCAGCAAATTAATGGGTGTGTTATTTTAACAGACAGATTAAGAAACACTCATGAATGTAGGTCAGCAAGTATTATGTTGGAAAAAAAAACCTTGGCACGGAGCTCAGAGTCTCCATTGCCAGTGCTGCCAAGCTCACAGGCATCAGAGTCATCAAGAACAGCCTAAACCCCAGGGCTTTTTAAAAGTGCTATTTCATTTTACTTGCCTTATGGAATTTGAGCCTTGCAAGCTTACATTTTGCATGTTCTCTGACCACAAAACCAGCACATTTTGCAGTGAGCACTGAATACTCCATGAGAAGGTGACAGTAGAAGGTGAGCTGAATTATTGTAGGCCTTGTACACACCTACACTCAAATAACTCTAAAGCCCCTGAAGGACCATGTTATAAACAAATACACACATAAAGCACATTATAACTTTTCCTGTACAAGGCATCTCTCTCATGAGAATGTCTGCAACCAAAAGGGAACAAAATCATAGTTCTAGAAACATTCCTTCAGTCCATAGTGCCAGAAGGCAGCTCTCCCCATTCCCTTCAAACCCACACTGTTCAATTGCTTCAGTTCTACTATTCCAAGGTGAAATAGGGATCACAAGCTGGGAATTGATCTAAAGTAAGAACCCCCCAAAACAAAGCATAATTCAAACCAACCAAAAGGTTAACAGTAAACTGCTTCACGTGGCTCTCCCGCTAAAAGACTTGCAAACACCCAGATTCAACAGGAAACCCTTACTGAGAACTCCACAGCGTCCCACAGCACTGCAGTGATTCCCATTCTGATCTACCAAAGCCTATGTAACTTTATATTACAGGCATTCTTCAGTGACATTTGTCTAATATATTAACTTTAGCCTTAAGTATTTTAAGATTGTGCCATAATCAGCTTATATATTTCTAGTGTCACTCCATCATAAACAATAATTATAGCATTAAAGTAGTTATAAATTTCTACCATTCTATTTATAAAAGCAAGTTTTATGTTAAACCAAACTCTTACCTGTTATAACAGATCCATCAGATCCTGGACCATTTCCCAGTGACTGGAATTCTGTTAAACTTAAAGCTCCAGAACTATCATCACCTAGAGACTGGGACAGGTCTTGAATGTTCTCCATATCTTGTAGGAACTCTCCAGATAAAGGGCTGTCTATATCCTCCTCCTCCAAGGGAGTGAGGGGATAGAGCTGGTTTTCAGTGTCCACCATTTTGATCAAGTAGAGCAGTCACTTAAACTTCTTTATACTGGTGAAAGAATAATTAAAAAAAACCAAAACAGATATTTTTAAAAAAATATTTGAATCAGTTGCAGCACACTGAATACAGGATTTCTAATCCAAAAGTGAAATATTATACAACATTCTATTGCTCTGGAAACTTTATGCAACATGAATCATCAAGAGCACAGGGTGGGGAAAATTCCCCAAAAGATTTCAAGATGAATGAAAGTTATGACAAGGTCAATCTGTAGATGGTTGTTTTCTCTCCATTGTTGAGAAAAGTGTTTCTACAGAAGGCATTATGCACTTCCCACCAAAACTTATAACAAATATCAATATTCTCCTCACTCTTCTTGAGCAGGAGAAATAAGGGCAATGCTGTCACTATTACTAAGTTGCCATCCATTCTACAAATACCATTAGTACAGATTTATTTGCCCAGTTCTTTGAAACAGGATAGTTTTATCCAGAAAAGGAAAATCATTTCCATGTCACATAGTGCAGCAAGCAGGAATATGTAGGACAGTTAGTATGTGAATTTATCCATGATTTCCAGTTACAGACAACAGGGATGTTACTGTGCCCACTGTGCTGGTGGGTGAGAGCTGGACACAGAGCAGGGAACAGCCCAGAAACACCTGGAGCTAACTGTGCTGTTTGTTCTTAGTTATCTACCACATCCCTGACATAACCAGAACATACTCAGACTCAGAAAAGAGAAATCCCTTGTATGTAATTTGTGAAAATAAAGTTAAATTCCTATCTGTGTGATACATCTATTTGGTGATGGGGGAAAAGTATAGAGAAACCTCCAGCAACCCAAAGCAACCCAAATTTGTCTCCCTAAGGAGCCATTAGCAAAAAGAAGAGAGGAATGGCAGAGCATATGATTGGCACTGCTCCTGCAGTGTGCTCTCCATGGAGCTCTGCTGGGCCAAAGCAGCACAGAAGGATTTTATTCCTCTGCAGACACTCAGCCCCAGGAGAGCTGGGGAGGTTCCAGTAGGCACTGGGCTCCTTCCACTCAGTGTTCCCTGCTGAATCACATACACATCTCTCCAAGTGCCACTTCTTCATCCAGCACACATATTTTGAAAAGATTAAGAGAAAACTGAAGTCTACCCTCAACCAAGATAGGCATTATCTGTCAGGAAGGCAAAGGAAAGGCTTGAGAGCTGACCTCTGGACATGGCAACAGCTGCCTGGTATCCCCCAAACCACACCATACCTTCCAGGTTTACAATCAATATGTAAAATTCAGCAGCCTTTTTAGCTAAATTTCTGTAAAAACAACCTAACAGCTAGTGAAACATAAATGGAGTGCTTCTTGTTTTAACTATTAAATTACATACCCTTTTGTACTTTCAAACACTACAATTAAATTACAGCTGCTTAATCATTAGCACTCTTGTTAATGATTAACTGGTACTTAAGCAAGCATGGCAACAACATAACAATTTCTGAAGACTCAAAATATACTAATATTCACAATACAGACAATTAATTTTTTTATAAGCACAGAAAATCTGTAAGCAATATGCCTAGTATTTATGCAGTAAAGTGCCTTCTGGCTTCTCTTGTGTTCAGTGCATGTTTGCACATGCATATGCTTTCACTGGCAGGTTTCACATAAGATGCATTGATCCTTGCTTGAATGAAAAAAGCTCCTAAAATAAAAAGGGTAATGAGTATGAAGCTTGTTTTATATTCACAGAAAGATTTTTGCTTTACAAAAGCCCTGTACATGTTACAACAGTAGATGTAATAGATGCAGCATGATGATTCCACTCAAAGATCTGTGTCTTCTAAGTATTGATAAAAATTCTGTGCCACAAAGACATTGGCAGAGGAATTTCTCAGTTTCCCATACAATGATTCAGTCCCCATAACCCCCTTCTTATGCCCAAGTACCAACACACATAAACTGAAAACAAGAGAATGGAACATAGAAGAATAAGGACCCCATTTAATGTAATTATGGTTTTAAGGCCAAACAGGTTTTACTCTCTCACATCCTGTTATCTCTGAAATACGTCTATTTTCACAAGAAGTCCTTTCCCACCACCCCACAGTGAATACCCACTGAGTAACTTACCTATCAACTTGAAATCAGTCCCAAAGAAATCAGTCAGATTATTAAAGAAAAACACCCCAACATGCAGCTATCAGTTACTTGCTTCATTTTTGGCAAGGGATGGAGGGATACCAAACCTCCAGCCCTTCCACATTTAATACTTGCCACACCAGGGATAATCTCTGTAAGGAAACAGGTCTGTGAGATGCAAAGGTCTCTGGGAAGCAGTAACAAAGTCTGATCTTTCTGCATAAACAAATTGATCGTGTAAAGGGCTTGCTTGCAAATACCAGGGTTAAAGTTGAAACAGCCATTACCTCTAGGTCATTTGGAGAATGCTGGGGTTGAAAACAGCACATGTAAACTCGTGATTGCAATAGGTATTTTTAGAAAACTTCACTGGATAGGAAGAGCTTTGAATATGTAAGAATGTACATATGTAAGAGTCTTGAATGTGTAGAATATTTCCAATATCCTGATTCAACACAAAAAAAGGAAAACAGGATTTGGTACCTACAGTGTGACACCCAGACTTCCACCTGGCAAAGGATGCATATTTTCTAATTTATTATGTGATAATTTATTCAATTTTCATAGTTTGTAACTTTACATACTTGTATTATTTTTATTTTTAAAAGTATTAATAACAAAAGTCAGAGAACATTTTCAATGCATGTGATGAAAAATTTTTGTAAGCTACCCCCTTCATCAAGACTGCCAGTTGCACACCCCATCTTCAAAAACATTCACCCAGAAAAATGTCATCTTTCTTCCCTTTACTCAGCTGTACTCCAAGATACCACATGCAACTTATTGGTATCCTGGCCTTCAAAAGAAATCAAAATTCACATGCCCTAATTTTGAAAAATGACAGCAAAATTGTCACATAAGGAAAAATTTTATGCAACCTTGATTTGAATTCTCTCCCCAGCCCCATGGCAGGTGAGTGAGCAAGTGGGGCTTGGCTGCCTCCTGGGGTTAAGCCCAGACAAAATGACAAAAACAACATGGAAATTTTTTGTTTTGTTTTGTTTATTTTGCTCAGCCAAACTCAAGGAGAACTTACTGAGCTAGGAAGCTGTGTTTCTTTGGACCCAGGATTTTCTGTGCCAGTGGATTTTAAATTACATTGGCTAGTGTATGTTACAGATCAGTGTCTCTGAACAGGACCACTCAACCCTCCTTTACAATGTAACTAAAGAATTCAGCTGATTTCTAGACCTTCAAGACTATTTATTCACTATTTCCCTTTTTCACTTATGTAACACATTTATTGTACACTAAATAGTTTTAGAAATTTGTTTTGCCAAGATTACTGTTTAAGAAGCAACTAATAACAGGGCAGCAACAAAATTATTCAGGAGATAATGAAACTATTTCTTTCAAATATCATACCCTCTCACTTTCACACAACAGATGCAGTCACTAATGGAGAAAAAACTACAAAGAGGAAATTAATTTTCAGCAAACAGAAATAAGAGAGGCAATTCATCTCACCTAATGTCAAACAGCTCACTTAACATGTTTGGGTTGAGTGGAGCTCAATGGAATTTCCAGAGCCATGACTGATCTTGGAGGCCATGATGACACACTAAAAACGTGGTGCTTTTCAATCCAACCACTTCCCTGATCCAGTTCACTGCAAAGCCTTACAAATATTAGTGCTGGCTCAATGGAGAGAGAAGAAATAAGCAGCTGGGAACAGGGACACACGTGCTGCATGGTCAAAATAAAACTGCATGTGCAGCCTGAACCTCCTGTGCAGAATCCAGTGACTGTGAGGACAGGCTGGGTCTGCAGGGCAGGCACTTGCACTGCCTGAGGTGAAGAAGCCAATGCCTCTTTGGCCTCCTGTGGGAGGTGAAAACTGCTCTACAGATCAGACAGCACCTCTATTACATTAAGGGGTATGACCATCTTTTGGCAGGGCTGTGGAACTGTCATGCAGGCAGCTATGTGCACATCCCATAGATATTCACCTTCCAGCTGTAAAATTGCCACTGAAATCCAGTACTGCCTGAAGATCCAGGCACTTACTCTGAGGTGACACAACACGCTCCAAAAAATAAATAACAAAAATGAAATTAAAGTTCCAATGCTGGAAACTCAAGCTGAGAGTAGAATCTAGCTCAAAGAAAGACTTCAGCTGCTTGTAAAGAACAAAGCAACATCCTAGCATCAAGTGGCTTTCTAAAGGAGAATTTTGAATTCAACAAGCCCCTCAAGACCCTGGTAACTAGGAACTCTGTTCAGAACACTTTGTGTTTACACTGGCTTCATATTAGACAAGAAAACAGATTGCACCATCTCTCATGCACACCATTAGACAGCCAGCCTGTACCAGACAGCTGAGCTGCAGACCACAGCTCCTGGGTATGGCTGCAGTAGGATCTGAAGCCTGTGTTTAAAGGAGCCCCTGCAATCCCTCTGGCAGCAGGAGCCACATTTGGTTTCATCAGCAGCAGGACAGGAAGGTTTTGCAACCTTCGCCTCCAGGCTCCAAAGACAAGACTTACAGGTCTGTCACCTCAAGTTTACACCTATCAGCAATCATGCTTGCTTTCTTCCACACAAATGGATGTATCAAACATGGCATTAATCAAATTTGCATCAAGGCCCTTCTGATAAAAGGAAAATCCCATATTGTAAAGAGGGCAGATTGAGGTGTTGTTTGAACTGCCTTCAAGCTCAAATAGGTTCAAGTCTGCATAGAATGCCAGCATGACTGAGATTTTTCAGTTGTTTGGTTTGTTTTTCTCTCCTCTAAATGTGAGTTTTCATATCCAAAAAGTAAATGCTTTGGAGATTTCTGTAACTGGGAATAGGAAGACTTGGCTTTTCTGTCTAGTGAATGCTGAACTGAAACTAGACTCAGAAATAGCTGCATGTCAAAGTAAAGCTTTCAAATCTCTTTTAAATCTGTGTCTGCTGAATCATTTAAAGAGCTGTCT